ACCTGTGGCCTTGGTGTTATCAGCACCACACTCTCCCGAGTGAGCCACGGGCCGGCCCTAAAATCTATTTTTAAAAACAAACTTCCTTCAAGTCATTTTTGTTTTTGTACCAAAGAAACAGTGGATTAAACAGATTAAGTTTCCAAAATAAATAAATAAAAATACATCTGCAAGCCAGCTGCCTTGCTGCCAAACATGAAGTGTCCAAGGGACCACTGTGGCCTCTACCAGCCACGCTGACAGGATGAAGCAGCAGTCCTGGGACCAGACCCAGCGCTCGCAGGCAGGCCTCACACATAGCTCCTCTCCTGTCCACCTCACCACCTTCTAGTTGAGGGGATCCAGGCACTGGGAAGGAGGAGCCTGCCCAAACCACTGAGATGAGTCAGCGTTGGGTCGCTCCATCCTGCCTGCTGAGGAATCTCAAGCATCCCATGGGTGGCCCCACCATCTGGAAAACACTGTCGTGGACAGAACATTCTTTCTTTGGCCAGGTCAGGACAAGACACACATAGGAGTGCCAAGGTGTTGGGATGATATCACATGGGGCTGGTGTCCTGGCTGCTCGGGGGGCCCCACTATCCTTCTCCCTTCTGGCTGCTGCCTGGGGATCCCCAATTCTGCCCTCTTGGTCCATAACCCGTAATTTTAAGCCCATTCTCTTACCCAAGCTTTAAATTCCCCAGACGCTGTATCCTTTCTTGTAATGCCCAGCTGCAAAACTGCAGCCTTAAGTGGACCCCACTGTTTGACCACCCCCCTCCCCAACATTGCCCAGGCTGTAGTGTGGAGGCCAGCAAAGTGGGGGCTACCTGAGGCCACCGCGCCACGGCCACTGGAGATTCCCGTGTCCGTGAGCAAGCGGGCTTCTTTGCTCAGTCCCTCTCCACCTGCACACTCTCAACATGGCCCGCAGTGGGCAGTACCTTGACTCTTCACTGCAAACCCACAGCCCTGCCTGTCACCATACACGCATATGCCCTGTCCCTCTCACAACAGCCAAGGGCCTTCCCCTCCCACCCTTGGCCCCTGCCCACCTGCAGGCTCCTCCACTGTCTCCAGCATCTGGCCCAGGGCACCCCTCATCCATCAGGTCTTCCATCCGAGAGCTTCCCCAATCCCCAGACAAGGTGGGGTCCCTAGTGAACCGTTCTGTAGCACTTGGATCTCCTCCCAGTTACTGGATTGTTAAAGTGGATGCCCAACCAAGCAAGAAGGGAAGGAAGGAGCAGAGAAGGGAGGAGAAGCAGGAATGAAGGAGCAGAGAAGGGAGGAGGAGCAGGAAGGAAGGAAGAATGAGGGAGGCTGAAGCTCCCCAAAAACATGGCCTGTCCCATTCTCCCTGTATCCAGGACCCATAGGTGCCAGGAGCTGTTACATGAACAGGAAACTTGTCTGCATTCAAAGGAAGCTGAAGAGTCCCAGAAGGTGATGGAAAGGTCTCAGGAAGAGATTTCACTGGAGAAGGTAGCCTGGCATCTCCTCCTGCCCAGGAGGAGCATGGGGTGGGTGTGGCCACAGAGTCCCTTCCCTGCCATGCCCCCAAGTCTCCTTGGCTTGCGCAGCCCCAGAAAGAGGAGTGGACAGCCAGTTTGCAAACACAGGCCTCTCCAGCAGCAACCCCTCTGCTGACTGTCTCCACATCAGGAGCGGGGCCCACCTTGTGTTTCAGCAGCTCGTCGTCCATCCTGGCTCCACCAGCATCGCTAAGGACAGGGCTCAGGAGAGGGGATGAGCCCTGCTCAGCTGGGCCCAGAGTCACCTGAAATGCAGGGCTCAGGCTCAGGGGGCTCTTCCGGCTGGAGGGAGAAGGCTGAGGACTATTCCCGGAAAGGCCTGGAAATGAACGGGGCAGAGGATGGGGCAAGAAATGAGAAAGGGCTGTGAGGCTGGCTTAGAACCGCCACATTCTTACCACGTATTAGGCGGCGGCTGCGCTAGCCTTGCACTGCCACTAGGCACTTTCTGGAAAATGTGTATAAAAACTTTTACCACATGCAATTCTAAACATGCTGATCTGTCAGCTTCAAAGACCAACCACAGATGGTTGACCCCGAGGGTCCTGCGGCGGCCTGGGTGCCCCCCTTCTATTTCTGGGGGTTTCTTTTTGCTCTAGAGAAGATGTAACTATGATAAAAATGAGCACCACAAAGTCTGTAAAGCAACAGGGAACCATCAGAAAGAGCATCAGGGGAGGTTAGAGACAAAATGTCAAACCAGTGCTAACTTACTTGAAAAAGCAATGTCTATTTTAAGGCCAAACATTAATCATTCGTTTAAAAAGTAGATCATATTAAATTGCTCAATTACATGATACTGTTTTCTAGTTTCTTGAGTTTTTCAGTAACAAGGATTTTGGTTTTCTAGAATTATACAAATAATTAATACTTAACTTTTTTCCTTCTGTAAACAACAGTTGCTTTTGAATAGATAGGCACCAACATTGTGGCCTAATTCTAAGGAAGCTAATGATGAGGTATATATCATTGTACATTTTTTTTAATTCTTGAAGGTTCATTTCTGATGTTTTTCTATGGAAAATCCGTATTAAGTGCCAAAATTTAAAGGTATCTTTAAAGCAGTTTTTTTTTTGTCCTTTTTGAGACCTGCTGCACCGCGCTCAGCCAGTGAGCGCACCGGCCATCCCTATACAGGATCTGAACCCACGGCGGGAGCGTCGCTGCGCTCCCAGCGCTGCACTCTCCCGAGTGCGCCACGGGCTCGGCCCTTTAAAGCAGTTTTATAGGAGAAATTTAACTGCTGTTTAAATACTAAAGATGAAAATTTAACTTATGTTTTCAAGTGTTTAGTGTTTTAACACTGCAACCACCATTATTTATAACTATGATGATTAAATGTGCTTATGAAATGCCGGAATAGAAGTAGGTTGCTTTGAGCCCCTGGTTGCATGAGCCACCATGGCACCTCCCTGCTTCACCCACAACTGGGTTCAAAGCAGGATTCTCCTACATGATTGTTGGAGTCTTCAAATGCAGTAGCCTATGGTGACCAGTTTATAAAACCAAGATTTGGTTTATTTAACCTAAAATATGTAAGTATATAGGCAGAACAGCTTCTTGGAAAACAACTGGCATCACAATCCCCTGCTCCCTGAGTTGACATAAGTGACTGAACTAATTAACCCCCCACTGCGGCATGGGGGGTGAAGGGGTGCAAGTCCTTATTTTCACATTGACAAATTCAGTGATCTGAAAAGGGATTCTACTTATGGGGTTCTTGAGATGAACTATCAATGCTAATGGTAGCAAAGCTTTCTTCCGGAATTGTTCACAAGTTACATTTAAAGCACAAGGAAACATTCATGGACATAGAAAATCTAGACAACATCACTATATGAAATTACTAACAAGTTTATGACCTTTTGCTTTTATTACACGTTTAGTTAAGATATACTAAGCAACCTTAAAAGAACATAAAATTCCTACTTTCCCTCCCCCTCACCAGGCTACGCGTGGTCTTTGCCATTTCTGAAGGGATCAGTGCAGAAGTGGCTGTTCCACTCCAGCTACTGAAGCATGGATTATTTCCCATGTTAAGAAGAGGAATGCTTCCAAAGATGCGCTATTTAAGATTTGTACTCCAAAGTCTTCTCTGTCCCTAATAAACCGGAGTTGCACAATGAAATACTTTTGGGTAATGAAATTTCAAAGAAAAGTCTAGAAGCTGCTAATAACATGTATTTATTCTTCATATTGTTCAGAGTGTTAGATAAGATGTTTTACATTCATTGATTATGAAAATAAGTCACTGTTTTACTGTTGTGTCTTCCAGTGCCCCACACAGGACCTTACTCAGAGATGTGCAGCCCACGACAAGTTCCTACTAGACAGCTTACCAAAAAGCAGCAGTAAGTCCGGCTTTATTTTTAAGCAGCAAGAGGTGAAACTTGAGGAAACAGCCCCACCACTGGAAGCACCACGGTCACAGCCAGGGTGGGTCACAGCGCCACCGACTTAGAAAATGCATCTCCCAAGAAAGAGCCCCTTAATGAATAACTCGTAAAAAGAAGGAAACCCTCTTCAGAACAGACTCTCATTTGGAATAAACTATTTTTGGTTGTACAGATGTTAAAAATCATCATTTAATATTATTACTGTAAATACTTTCTATTTCACAAAAAAGTGTCAACTCACAATTTAGTGAATGGATTGAGTACTATAAACAGCCATTAAACATTCCTTTTAATTAAATCTGTTGGCTATAGCAAACCTTACAAATCATACCTACTTCAAATTATGCAAACAGCCCCCTCTGCCCCCTCTTGCCCTTCTGTCTTCTGCCATGGGATGACACAGCAAGGAGGCCCTCACCAGAGGCTGGCCCCTCACTCTTGGACCTCTCAGCCTCTAGAACTGTGGCCCAACAAATTTATTTTCATTATCAATTATCCAGTCTCAGATATTTTCTATGGCAGCACAAAACAGAGTGAGACAGCCAGCATGAAGGGGGCAGCATGGCAAGAGGAAGCATTTGCTGCCGACTCTCCCCAGAAGGGTATGGTATAGAGAAGCTCCACACTTGCCCCCCTGAAACCCTCAGACCACTGTGCTGCCAAGAAGCCCAGTCTGGCCTACTAGAACAGGAGGTCACAGGAAGGAGAACGCAGCCAACAGCCAGAACGATCTGTGAGGGAAGACGTCTGCAACCATCCAGCTCCAGTTAAGGCACAGAGAGAGGGGGAAAAACATATCCTGGTGTTCCCCACCCGTTGTCCTACCTTCCTTCAGAGCCTCCAGCCAGCGCCTCTGTATAGTCTAACCAAATGAAGCTGGCGGACAGAGGACCCTGGGAAACGCAGGCTTCAAGATGGAGAACTGGAGAAGCAGGACCAGGATCAGCACAGTGGACGAAGCAAATGACGGGAAGCACGAGGTGGGGAGAATAGCAGAGGGTTCAGTCCTCTGCTGCGGCCACAGAGAAGTGGGAGAAGCTTACGAAGAAGAGAGAGAGAGCAGCCAGATAAGCTGGCGTAGCAATAATACAATTCTGGTTTGAAATAAGACATGAGAGGAAGAGGAGGAGGAAGAAGAGGCCTGATGAGTGGCTGTAAAGTGATGCAGACTTCAAAGAAGGCAACTGGCGAGAGACAATTTCCTTTGGTGGCAAGCATTAATTACCGCATTAATTAGTGACCCAGTACTGGCCTGCAAACACAGGTCCATCTTTCCTCCCCAAATTGTGGTTTGAAAATCCTCAGAGGTTTGTGAGAGTGTCGCAGGGGATTTATTATTGAAAATGGAATGCTACCTGATTTCTAGTATGTTTAAAAAATTCTTTATTTAGATGGTATGTTTGTAAAAAATTTTCAAAGGTAATATACGTCTCCATTAAAAAAAATAAGAGATGCACAAACATTAAACTAATAATACCTAATTTGTTTTAAAAATGTTTAAATGATATGATTTTTTCTTCTAAAAATGGGCCATCTACACCAATAATTTGATATAAGATGATTATATTTATGGTCACCCAATTGAATATCTCTAGCCATGGTGTTGATTTTGATTACTATAGAGCAAAAAACTACTTTTATTCTTAAGCAATTCACAACTTCAGTTCACAACTATGATGAGACCCTTGACAAAGACAAAAATCAAAATGAATACTGAAGTTAAATGCAAGCTAAATTGAGTGTAAAAATGGTAATTCTGCTAGTTTGCTTCAAGTTGTCCTACATAATATTCTAGTTCCATTAGTTGAACCACAATTTTTATATAGCACACCAAAATCTCACTAGTACTTGTACTTTGTACACTAGTACAAAACCAGTATTTAAAAAACCAAAAAAACCACAGACAAATATATACAAATTATGCAAACACAGATGCTACATACATGATGAAGTAAATAAATCTGTGGGGAGATAACTTTTCAAGCAAGTGGCGGTAAATGTGTAACTTTTCTAAACATGAGGTTGTTGGAGTGTGAATCTGCGTGCCTCCATGCCTGCTTCGTATAGGCCGTTCCATTGTCTTTGTGCCTGCAGAACACTTCTAGTGGAAGTCCCCAGCACATACATACTCTACAGGAAAGAAAACAAGCATGCAGGCCCTGGCTCTGTAGGGGTGCTCTCCAGAGTGACATTCAGGCTCTGCTATTTTGGACTCTGTGATAACATAAAAGGATACTTGGCTTAGTGCTCCCCTGCCTTAAAAAATCCTTTTGA